CGTAAAATCGTTTTGGGCCATGGGTTATGAGCGAACACATCCACCCCCCAGCGGTGGTTTGTCTCGTGGACTCAGTGAAGCCCATAGTTGACAGTGAGCGTTTCCTCGTGTCGCAAACAGGTCCACGGCTGCTTTGCCAAATTCCTGCCATGTCTGGGCCATCAGACCGAGGTGGAGGGTCCACTCCCCGTGACGCGGACCGCCCCTGGACATCACATCTGCCTCTTGTACAGAACACCGGGGATGTACACTGCTCTGATGGAGAGCAGATTTTGGTGTGCCCAACACAGTACTTTCCTCGCAATGTGTAACATTTGGGCTGCGTTGATTCTGTAGCACAGGAACAAAATGTTAAATCACATTCAGAACCGTGCAACCCTCCAGAACGTTTATATGAGCTGTTGTGAGAAAGTCACATCGCCCTTACAGCTCAAGATAGGCATGTCACCCCTCAACCTGACACCGGTGCGTCTGTGAAGACTGACACGTGTGACGTAGGTCTGCTGACGGGGCTCCCGCCAACAAAAAACAGGGGTTTTCCCAGTGTCTGAAGTCTGCTCTCACGGAGGGAGGAACAGTGATCGTCCGTCTCTTTTTGCCTTACCAGAGCCATGCATTGACAACATCGTGTTTAATAGCTTTATGATGAAAAATATCTGTTATTACTCTGCCCGGTTTTACGTGGCAGAGCTGGACTCTTACAGAGTTGATTCTCGTCTGTTGATAAATGAATAAACAAGTTTAGCCCCACTCCCAGATAAACGTCTGGGCCGGGAGGATCAAACTTTTCAAATTTTATGGCGAAGCCCAGAATTGGCAGGTGTGACATCAACATCTGAGCCTGAGCCGACAAGTGAAGCGGTCTGCCCACAATCGCCTTGTTGAGAAACTGACAGGTCCACATCGGTCTCGTCCTCTGGTCTGTTTGGAACCAGGAAGTAACGTGAGTAACAACCTGTGTTTTCCTCTCCGCCGGGAAAACCCCTGGATTCTGCCTTTAGGGATGAGGCATGGTCTGGTGATGACAGGACCGTCTCTAAAACTCCTCCGAACGGAGGGGGTCGGGCTGCAAGTTGCAACATGTAACCCCTGCTATCAGCTTTGGCCATCTATGCCTGGCGAGAAAGCTCGCAGCCACTCCGCATAACATCCGTGGGGTGGGCGTGCGTTTAGGTGGTGCGTCATGTTTTAACGGATGTCAGTCTATCCACTGCCTCAACTGCTGTCATGAGCCATGGGAATGTGTTCTGTGTGACCCACAGGTGAAGCTTGGCTCTGAGCGCGTCTGTGTGCTGCACTTGACAACGGGTCCACATTCATGTCTATGTGGAACGGTGTGTGTTGAGGAGAGGCGTGTGAAAACTGTTGACACCGCGGGAACGCGCGTTGACATCACTGCGGTGAGACGCGTGTCGCTCCTGCCGAGAGCGAGATACGTTACTGGGCTCGTACAGCGATCTCACGTTTAAGTTGACGTGAGCGGCGAGTGCTGAAAACTGCGTGCGCGCCTTCATAACGCAGTGCTGTATGGGTGAAGGCTGCTCGTGCCGCGGGAACGCGCGTTAGCACCGCTTTGTGAGGAGTGTGCAGCTTGGATTGAAAAAACTAGTTATTCCACTGAGACTCGTTGTGCGGGCCCCATTCACTTATGACTGTTGTGTCATGCGGGCGTCTCATCTTGTTGGTGCGACGGTGATTGAAACAACCTTAAAAAAGGCCACCGGCTCATTCGTGGGGTGTGTGTGTGTGTGTGGGGGGGGGGGTGATGGAGCCGCTGTCAGGTCATCCGAGCTGACAGGTCATCCGAGCTGACAGACTGGCTAAAAAGACACTTCATCATAAAATGATGTTTTATTCCCACATTCGTGTTATCTTCACACACATCCAGCAAACCGTCATACAGTCATCTCCCCCTGAGCTCTATGGTTTGTTGTCCTAGGGCGCCCCCTGTTGGCGATCTCCGGGAAAAGTTGAACTTCCAGATGCCGGGGATGTCTGACGGGTGGGGCTGGCGTAGCAGAGCGGGGAGGCGTTGTGCAGCCGTGGAACATCTTGAAAGTTATCTCTTGTTGATGAGGGCCCTCCAATAAAAAGCTTTCTGCAGCTCCTCCAAGAGGGAGGTGGAGTTACGGGCCAGGTGAACCTCTGGGAAACCTCGTCCTCCAGCTGCGATGCGAGACCGGCAGACAGCAAGGAGGCGTACCGGTTGAGGATGACGTCAGCTGCCCTGCAAAGGGAGCATACATCTCTTCTCGCCTCTGAACGTTGTACGCAAACAGCGTAACGTGCTGTTCGCTGCGGTCGCCTGGAAACACACGCTGGTGAGCTCGGTTGGAGAGCGATGTCACCGTCTGGTTATGCTATCCTGAGGCGCAGGACGGTGGTCCAACCTGGACATCTTTGCTCTGAAAAAGCCTCCGTCAGGCTCGGCTCCCGGGGGCACTGAGGGAATTTCCGCTCGGTGAAAACCCCTCCACTCTGGTGATGGGCGCAGATGTGGGAACCAGTGCCCTATTCTACCAGGACCAGCTGCAGCCTCATCCCAGTAGGACGTCACCGCTGGGAAACTGAGGCCAGATGAGATCAGGACAGCGAGCCGGAGCGGAGCCCAGAAACCTTCCCGCTGGATCATCCGAAGTGGCGGGGGAGGCGAGGGACGGAAAAAGGTCCCTTCATGTCAACCGCCTCCTGGATTAAGCCGGGCAAACTCCAGAGGGCGCCCGCAGCTGGGAGAGGTGTGGTCGCCGATGCGAAAAGAGGTGGGGTGGGAGCATACGCTCAGCCCCCGTCTACTGACACTACGCTCTCCAGGAGGGAATGAGCAGCGGGGGGCTGCTGCTGACGTCGCCTGTCCCGGAGGAACCATCCGATTCGCTCCGAGGGTCGGCGATAAGAGGAAAATTACAAGATGGCATCGTCCAGCGTGTAGCGACCTGCCACTGAGAATACTCCTCGGCACCTACCTTGAAACAAGACTGCTCGTCTGCTTCTCCTCGGGGGGGAGAACTCACCAGGATGACATGGTTGACGTGGCGGGGCCACAGGCAGTCTTGACAAAGGTTGGTCAGCTAGACATCTTTCCTTCTTCGTTCTTATGACAGTGCTATTAGCTCGCTGAAGAAAAATGGGAGCCGATTACCCGCTCTTAACGTAATTTATACGGACCGGGTGGGGCCCACACAGCAGGTGGGCGTGGACTAAATTTTTCAGTGTAATGCTTCGCATAACAGGATAAAACCCATCAGCGACAGCCTTAAAGGGCGAAGCCTATATGAAATAGAACTGAACAAACGTAGAATATTGTAGTGACTCACCTGCCAACACAAGACAAGTTGTATCAGCTGCTGCTCCTTCCTCCTCCTCGTGACTTCGACATGTTTATGTTTATCAGCGTGGTTGTCCCGTGTCGTGTAGTCACTTTTCAAAGCTGCATGTTGCACAGTTTTTATCTTTGTGAAGTGCTTCCACACTTTGGAGGACTTAGGTTGAACCATTTTTGTTGCATCGGTCATTTGTAAAATTTATTTAATTTCCTTTGAAAACAGCCTCTGCTCTGCTTCCACCTTCCCCCTCGCTCTGTTCAACTCGCGCTGCAGAGGTTTTTTTTTTTACTTTATTCAGTCAGCATTGACAATGAACTGCAGGTGAACAAAACAGCTCCGCAGCGCCGTGAAAGACGCATAATCGCGCGACACAACGAATTGATAATGATATTCGTTGCCAACACTTTTAATCATCGATTGTTATCAATTTTATCGATTTGTTGTTGCAGTCCTAGTATGGATGTGGTTAGAGAAGACATGGAAGTAGTTGGAGTGAGGATAGAGGATGCAGAGGACAGAGTGTGATGGAGGAGGTTGACTCACTGTGGTGACCCCTGAAGAGGGAAAAGCTAAAAGAAGAAGAAAAGACATGCACAATGCACATAATCCTTTCAGCAGTGTTTATCTAAAAAGGGATATAGTGAGGTGAATGTGTGAGGGTGAAAGTGTATGGTTGCCTCTACAGCACTATTTAGTAAAAATAATAAAATTAAAACCAGCAGGCTTCAATAAACTTGTGAAATAAGGAACACAACAATAAAACAACTGTGGCTTAATCGTTGAGGTTGCAAAGTTTGCGGTAAGTGCAGAATCAATAGACTGAGGAACAGCTTCCACCCTGAAGATGTTAGACTCATAAATCCCTAATCAGGATTATCACTTAAAAAAAAAAAAAAAATCACTGCAATGCCACTTTGATTGTTGATATGTGCCGCTGATTATCCATGCTGTTAATCTCATGCTGCTTATTTATTAATGTTTATTACTGTTGTCATCACTCTTTTGTTAAAACCAGGTCTCTCTTGTAAATGAGTACCCGAGGCTCAATGGGATTAACCTGTAGAAATAAAGGTTGAATTAATTTATTTCATGCTGCAGTATTCATTCGTACGCATCTACTTACAGACTCGTGTTCCTGCTGCTGTTGTTCAGCGTAGTTTTGCACTATTAGTGTATTTCTTAGTTTATATCTTAGATCCTTATTTACTGTTTCTATTTACACTTTATATTTTTGTTGTTGTTGGCTGTAACTGGGACCCTGTCATTCCACCTCATGTACCACATGTGATGTGAATGACAAAGAAACTTGAACTTAATTCTCCACATGTAGACTTACTGTGGAGGCCCTCAAGGGAGCACCAATTAATCATTAATTAAAAATATTAACATTAACAATGACAAATCAAAATTACAGCCATGTACAGTATTTGGCTAAAAACATCATGGTTTTCAATTATTTTTAATTATGTGGGCTTTGTGAAATTAATTCAATCCAAAAATGGTCAAAAACTCACAATAATAAATATTGCCTGTAGAATCAAATATTCAATCAAGACAATAAATTTACCCACATATTTAGTTTAAAAAATGCATATCATGCACTGTATACTCTCACTATGTATACAGTACGTTATATACACTCGCAGCGTATATTTCTTATGTTTTTCCTGGTTTTACCTAGAGGTCCTTTCCCTGATGCTTTGGCCTTCATCGCCTCCATGGCTTTCTGCTCATCCTTCTGTTTCTGTTTGAAGGCAACATCCTCCTGCAGACATAAACCCAGTTTACAATCTACAAGCAAAACACGCAAGCCTTCCAGAGGGGAAGAAATAAAACAACAAAAGTCAATTTTATATGTTAACATGTCCCATCAAGCTCAGAGAAGCTAAGATGTTTGTCAATATTGAAAAGATTTTAAAAATATTACGTCATCCATGTCTTTGGACAGTTTCTTGGGTGCCTTTAAGGGTTTCTTTTTGCCTCCTGAGGAAGAAATGAGAATATAAAGACACCGGTTGATGAACACACTGCGCACATGTTCCTATAACTATCGAAGTTTTTTTAACTACTCCTGGAGGGGATTTTAAAGCCGCACGAACAGATTTATGTATGACGTTAATCCACGGTCATTAGGAAATACTTATCTAATTATGTGCCTTTCTCTGAAATAAATTAATTTAAAAGTGGTAAATCCACAGCGGAATTTGGTTCAAGAGGACGTCTGCTCCGCTCGTGCCTCTTTAGCATCCGTTAGCTTAATCCACGCAGTAAACGACACTAGATTAAGATTTACTAAATTACCGTCTATTTTACCTTTAAAATACAAATTTTAAGTCAGCACAACATCTCACCTTCTCTACCAGACATGTTCAAAGCTGGTTTAAACTGAGAATAAATTAAATGAATGTAATGTCAAACTCAGCAAATTCAGCTATCTGTCACTTTAATACGCACTGCTAGGACCCCGGAAACAGAATCCCGATTATGTGCCTGAATAAAACCGTAGCTAGTTTAGCTGCCTCATTTTACTTCAAATAGGTAAAAAAATAGTTTCTAGAAACGAATATTGCAACGTTAATGCTCTGACAACTCCAACAGGTATGTTTGTTTTTATGTTTTCATCAGTTATTTGGACTCGTCACATTTTGGGGATCGTTTAAACTAATGCAATGTCAAGTAGCCGGGTAATTATTATTTGACATTTGGACATATTGGCTCAATAGCATCGAGGAGCTACAATGAACCAGTTAAGCAGTAAACCACGATGCAAAACAAAAGCACAGTTAAACTAAACACTAAGCTTCTCTTTCTGTAGTCTGTTGAATAAAAATATAAAACTACTAGCCGGTTTAAGAGTGTCTTGTTTATAATTTACAGAGCCAATCTCACTAAGTTTACTAGATTTTCAGCAAACCGTATATGTGTAACCAGAAAGTTGTCATGTAGACTTCAAATACATTTCTTTTTAATGCTAAAGTAACACGTTTTATGTAAATTTTAAAATTCAAAGTTGCATTGACTGATGAATTTAGACTGAATGTTTAAAAAAATGACCTAAGATTTCAGTGTCTTATTTCTTAAAAATGTCTCTCCTTCCATAAATAGCAACAACATGGCTTTTCCTTTTTTCAGTTTGTACTTTTGTTTTTATCATTTATCAGTTTTTATACAATACCTTTTTTTAAATTAAAAAAAAAAACTTTATTTGTAACATGATGAGGGGAGTGGTGGAGCAGAGGTTAGAAGATGGGCTTGTGATCGGAAAGTCGAAGGTTCAACTCCCGATACCATACATATCATATAATCACTAGATACAGCATTGACCGCTACTGGCGCTGACGAGCTGTAGGGCCGCCATCTTGGAGCGGTCGACCGCTCCACTCAGTGTGACCTGTTTGACAGGAGACATGAAGTATCTGCGTGTTTATCAATCAACCTTTATTTATACAGGTAAATCCCATTGAGCCTCGAGGACTCATTTACAAGAGAGACCTGATTTCAACAAAGAAAGATGAAACAATGGACAACAGCAACAACAATAAGCAGTTATAAAAACTCATACTACAGTTTTTTTTTTTTGTTTTTTTTTTTTAACAAATAGGATGGCTAAAAGGAAAAAGGTAACAAAACAAAAAAACAGCTAGATTCCAAGACAAATGTAGAAAACTAAAAACAGGAACATGTCTGCATTGGACCCTGCAAGGAGTCCAACAGATTCTTAAAGACACTTAGAGAGGTCAAAGGTCGAGAGCTTCAAATCTTTTTGTAAGATATTCCAGGAAACAGGAGCGGAGTAGGAGAAGGCCCTTTTGCCTAGTTCAGTCCTCACTGAGGGAACACTGCAGGTAATGATGTCCTGAGAGCGCACTCCGTAGCTGCACTCACACAGAGACATGTAGGAGGAGATGTATGAAGGCAGCAGACCATCAGTCAGAGCTCAATACTAAACTCATTCTCACGATTTTTTCCTCTGTAAATCTCAGCCATTAAAGATGAACACATGGTTCAGTGTATTTAAATATTCTTGGTGGGGTTTACATTAACACTAATAAAAGAATCTTATGACACGTTTGCAAAACTCACAGTCACTGATACATTTTTATTAAGATCTATATATTATATATAAATATACACACAGAGACATATCTCATATATATATATATATATATATATATATATATATATATATTTATTTATAAATAATCATCTCTATCACTTTTACTGTTCTGTCTGGAGCAGGTCTCTTGTAAATGAGTCCTTGCAGCTCAATGAAGCCAACCTGTATAAATAAAATGTTCAATAAACCATTATGTGTGTGTGTGTATATATATATATATATATATATATATATAT